TACTCAGCTTGTCAACTTCAGCTGTAATTTCTGTCTCAGCTTGTAAAACAGGGAAGGTTTGGCTGGGTCTGTGTACAAGAAATCTTTAAAGGAAGAATGGAAATATGAAAAAAGAGAGCTGGGTGTTACAGGGGAAAACAAATGTTGGAAGGAGTTAAAGGATATTATTTTCTGTGGGATTTTTACAGCATTTATAGTTTCCTTGGGTGTTCCTGCTCTTTTTCCAGTTTAGGGTGAGTGAAGATCACTGAAGTCAGTGATGTGGGCTCATCTGTCCAAATGCCAGTCTGAATATTTTGAATTCAGCGTTTTTTAACAAAAATAAGCAATTAATCAAAATTTCTGTGTTCTTGAGGTAGACTGGACAGCACTTGCTTGTGTTAGAAATACCAGTACATTGTCTCTTTTCTTCCAACAGATCACAGGTGAGTCCTGCAGGCAGCAGCCTGTCCAAGTATGGCTCGTTTGGAAGGGTCCCTGCCCAAGGGTCACAGGTATTGCAGTGTGAGGCCAGCTTTGGACAAGTTTTCATGTTCCATATCCACAGTAAACCCCTGCTGCAGGAGCTCTTCTGTTGTGTATCCTGTCTGGATTGCTGAGCCCTTCACCCTCCAGAGGTAAAATCAAGTTCCTGTTTAAGTCTGTGATTTGTTGTTTTCCATGATACCTAATAGGATAAACCAGGCTGGTGTGTCAGATTAATAAATCAGCAGCTTGAACATTGTTTGAGCTTTCCCACCCCTGCACTGGCAGTTCTTTAGATGTATTAACTGAAGTTATTTGCTACCTTGGAGATTATGAAGAGCAAAGCCTGAGTAAGCCTCCTATCAAAGAAACATTCCTTTAATATTATTGGGATAAATAAAAGCATCTTGCATTAGCAGTCATCTTCCATGAAATGTTTCTAATGCTTTGTGACAGGGGATTATTTTCCCAGTTTTGAACTAGAACCTGTCATCAGCCAGCAGCTTTGTTGTTTACTTCTCTGCTTTGCTGCTCCCTGAATGCTCCAGGGTGAACCATCAGCTCCAGCACTCTGGAGTGCACCTATGCTGTGCTCTGTGCTGCAGATGGATTTTTTTCTCCTGATCCAAAGGTTGCATTGTCTTGCCAGGTAAACAGCAAAGGAGCTGGTGCACGTCATGCTGGCCCAGGATTCCAGCATATTCCTGGCTTACTTCCTTTAAACCCCAAAGCAAAGAGAGCTGAGTAAAAGCAGGCACTGATGTGTTTTTCCCAAGATCAAGGAATTATCCCAGCACAAACAAGTTTTCTGTGTCTTCCCACAGTATTTGGCCTGTGGGAGTGCTACAAAATGAGGTGGAGTGTTCTAGTTCTTAAATCTTACAAGATTATTTTTTTCATGACCTACAGAATCTATTTCTTTCAGTTCTGACCCATTTTCTTTTCTTCTAGGTGCCAATGGATCAGCCACTGCCTTCCCTCCCCTGGCCCAGCATGGAGGAGACTGGGGGAGTCAGGGGGCACAGACAGCAGTGTGCCCGTGCTGGCCAGAGGGGAACAAGATGGATTTTATTACCAAGGTACAGTAAAAGAGGAGATAGAGGTGAGTGATGGTTCTGTGTGGTAGCTGGGGGATTATTCTCACACAGGAGCAGTCCTCACACCACCTGAGTTCAGTGTAGCAGTTTTTGGTTCAGCTGATGAGATTAGAGAACAGATCACCAGGACAGCAGGTGCTTGTGCAGCCTTGTGCTGCTGTGGGCACTGAGCCAGGCTCAGCCAGCCCCAGTGCTGCTGCCAGCAGTGTAGGGGCTGCTGTTGTGTGTAGACACAGAACCATCAACAGCACAGGAAAAGGGTTTGTGTTTTATGTACACATGTCCAGCCACAGACCAAGAGCCCAGGGTCTTTCCAGAAAGGTTAGTGAAAGCTTTAATTCATTGGTTTGTTAGCACTTCAAACTTGACACAAAAAAGAGCCTGTTCTTTCTCAAGAACAGGGAAGTACCTCATCTCATTGTTGATGGAAAGCCTCTAGACAGGCCTTACTATGAAAGAAAATAAAAATTCCCAACAACCCCCCAAGAAGCAGAGCTAGTGCTGTATGTAATGAGGAAGGACATGGGCATGACTGAAGAAAGGTCTGAATGGCTTCCATGTCCCTTGCTCCTTGGCACACACAGCATGGTTTGTGAAATACACTTGTCTATAGCTTTTTCTCTTGGGAAAGAAAATACAGATCCTAGTGGCAGTGAATCTGAACACATTTCACTCACCTTGCTTTCAGGTGAGCCTCATGGAGGTTTTTTGGGCTGTCTCAATGCTGAACTAACACCACACACTCTAGCTACTGTTCAAGCTTGTTTTGCCTATAGGCACAGGATGGCCTCCTAGTAAAATGTGCATTATCTGGCACATTATGGACTGTTGTTTAGTGGAATTGTTATTTTTTTTTCCTGGTAACAGAGTGAGAGAGGCATGTTCCTGGTAGAGTTTGCCAAACCACTTGTGTCACATGGAAGGCATCCAGTGTGTGTGCAAAAAACAGCAAAGGATGACATCCTGGAATATGTGAATGGGATGAAGCACTCCTTGCTCCCTGGAGACAGAGTGCTGGCACCCTGGGAGCCAGATGGGGCCAGGTATGGCCCAGGGACTGTCCTCAGAGGCATTGAGACAAGGGATCCCTTACGAGGTAAGAAAGGTGCTGCTCTCCTCCTCCTCCTGTTCCTCTGGCACACCAGTGAGGCTGTCAGGATAAACTCTTGTCAGGGTGCTGCTGCCAGAGAAATAACAGAGCACAGATTACAGCTAAGTGTTGCTCCAAGCTTGCAGGAGCTGATGGATATCTGTGTGTAACCTCACCAGTGTGACCCTAAAGAGGTTGTGATCCATAAAAATGTCATCATCTGTGTCCATGGGTATAGCTGTGACAAGGCTGTGTCTGCCATGTGCAGGACTGTGGCCTTTTCATGACAGATACAAGTGAGACAACTTCCAGGAAGCATTCATCTGAGCTTAAATGCTCACATTTGTACCAAATGGTACATCTGGGGGTGATTTTGTCACCCAGACGTAGGAGATTTCAACAGCTCATTCATTTTTCCTGTGTCTGACAGTCAAGCTCCACTGACTTACCAAAATACTATTCTCAGAGCAGTACTGCTAACTTTGGCAGCAACAACAAAAATTACTGTCATCATTTTCTTGTTCATCTGATGACAAACTGAGAGGAAAGATGCTGCCAGGCCTGTTGTTTTAGTGATGGTGCCCAGGCTGCCCACTCACCTCTGTGACACTGTGGTGAGATGTAAGAGAGGGGCAAGACTTGATCCTGCCTCTTGAGAGGAGTAGAAGGTGCAGAAAGCTGCAAAGCCTGATCTGTCTGTGTGCACTGCCCAGGCAGGCCAGCTGCTTAAGGCTGCTTACTTTTTATCTTAACAGCCTCAGAGGATGAAGAAATCATGGTCCAGTTCTGGAATGACAAGCAGGTGAAGCTCCCCCGTGGTGTGGCTCTGTGGATCCCTCCTAGCCTGTGGGAGAGGATTGTGGAGATGATCCAGGTGCCCTTCACCAGCAGGGTGAAGCCCAGACCAATCCAGGACATTAACTCTTGTATTTTTCCCGGCAGTCCTAAGCCAGCCCTGATTCCTGTTTGTGCTGGATGTAGCCTTGCCAAGCACTGTTTGCTCTGCTCTCCCTGCTGGCAGCATTTCCATCGCTGCTGTGCTGGTGCTATCTGCTGTTCATCAGCCTGGCTGAGGGGCATCTGCTGCTGCCAGCCCTGTGCTGGTGCCTGGTGGCCTCTTCCCTCCAGGCCCCTGGTCTTTCAGGACAAAGCTGAAGAGGCAGAGTCCAGCAGCCTGCTCTCTCCAGGCCTTCTAGAACTGAAAGGCACAGAACAAGCAGAAGCTGCAGCTGTGGCAACATCCTCTCCCTCTTCTGATTCAGAATGGGACCTGAAGCCATCCCCCACTAAGAGTACTGTGTGGGGCAGTGCTGTTAACACAGGCTCCAACTGTCTTGAAAAGCCCAGGCTGAAGAATTCTGCAAAACCTGAGGGGAAATACTGGAAAAGAAGCCACCCCAAGTCCCTTTCCAGTAATTCAGGTACCTTCAAACAACCCCATAGGGAAGCAGATGTCAGAGGGAACAAAACCAAAATTCTTCTGGGCAGGGCAGTCATTTTGCCTGCAGGTTATTGATATTAATACTGTAAATTTTCATATCAGACTCTGATACAATTCTTCCCCCTCCCCAATGTTTCTGCTGCCTCATCTGGCTCTTCTTTTGGCCACTTATCCCATAGAAAACTAGGGAACAATTAATTTCATTTGGAAGCACAGCTATTCCTCTCAATTTCCTGTCATTTTGCCTATGCCTTTTATGATGCTAACGTCTTCATTAACCTGCATTGCTCATCCATTCAGAACAACCTGAAAGAATTCCTTTCAGGCTCAAAGTGCATTTTTCTCTCTCCTGAACTGAATGTTTCTCCATTTCAGTTCTGCTTTCACTCTTAGATACAATTTTACTGCTTCCCAGGACCTGGAATTTGTAGCAGCACATGTACAAAGGGCCAGCAGGAACCCAAAGCCATCTCCACTGGGGACACGTCCAGTGTGGCCTCAACTCAGCAGAGTGCAATGTTTGAAAACATCAAGCAGACTCCCAGAGGGCAACTCACACTGAAAGAAATGAGAAGAGATCAAGATTTCAAGCCATCATTGAGGGTAAGGTAATCTGTATTAATGCTGGAGTTATGTAAGCAGGAGGTTTGCTTGAATGGAAAAAATATTGTTGTAAATGGTTTGGAACCTGACAAGAAAAATACATTGTAGGAAAGTTGTCCACTAATGAAACCAAAACAAAAATCCCCAAGCCTTAAGGAAGGGCTGAAGCTACTTGGTAAAATGGAAACAATTGTCAGTAGCCATGTGAGCATTCAATAATGCAGATTTCAGTTCAGAAACCTGCCAAATTCCCATTGACATCTACCCAGTGAAGTCCTGAGTTAAATCCATGGAAAAGTGCTGAGCTGTGCCAATCAAATTGTGATAGTCACAGTCTGTGCCTCAGACATAAAAGCAGATTCTTTGGTAAACAGCCTTTGCTGAATTTCTGCTCTTCTGCACTAGAGGCAGCAAGTTTAAACAGCAGATTCCTGCTGTGAAGCTGGGGGATACAAAGTAAGCAAACTGTGTCACAGCTAGGAACAACACCACTGCCTTGGTTTTTAGGCCTGGTTTCCCTCGTGCTTTAGGAAAACTTGAAAAAAAAATCAGAGCATGAATGCTAAAAAAAGCAAACACAGAAATGAGGAAGAAAGCAACTAACAGGAAGAAGGGGAAGATGAAAGAGAATGTCAAGATCAACAGAAACAGTGCTCTGCACAAGAGCATCAGGGTACAATTAATAAATTATATACATGAAATCAAATCTTAGCTTTTCTGGGCTCTTGCTACTGTGAGCTGACTGCCAAGTAAAATTTGAAATGTTCTAAACTTGCATGTTTAGAGATGAATTCATTAATAACATGTCTTAGTGAACAGAGAATATACAGGAATACATCTTGTATTCTCACAATTGTACTCATTCATTTTAAGCAGATGCCAACTTATCAACTGTATGGTTTCTACTTTCTATTTCAATTCTACTTTAATGTTTAAATAATCATAGTTACATAACTACACACCTTTGCAATTGATTTCCTAGGAATTTTTAGACCAGTATGGAGCTCCAGGCAGGCATGCTCTATGTTAGCAGTGTCAGAGCTGTGCACTGAAGTGACATTAGTTGCCTTTTGGTAAAACTAATAAGAAAACAGAATTGTTTCATTCCAGCCTCAAAGCAGCAGCATGAATCACAGTAATGGATGCAACGTGGTAACACGGGGTATAATGACAGAATTTTGTTGCTGTAAAATAGCCCTTGGTGATTTTAAACCCAGAAGATCCATTGCTACTCTGAGATAGCTGAAGCACTTTTATCACATGATAGAGGCTGTATCAGAAATGGCTTGCAGCAAACAAGTGGAGTTAGAGAACAGGCTTCCCAGAGGGCTCTGTGGGGCTGATGTCCCCTCACTGCAGTCAACAAAATCCTCCTGACTTCTGAAGTAGAAAAGTTCTTAATCAAAGACTAAAAGCCTTTGAAAATCCTTTGGTCTTGCTGTCCAATTGTGTGTTTCAGCAGTAAAGTTTGTATTAGCACAGAAAATAGGCCATTATTAAAGCTATGTGGGGCAGAGGTACAGCTAGCAAAGCAGCAGTTAACAAAGACAGTGATGCTTTTTTTTAGATCAGAGTTCTGAGGGATTTGTTTTCTGTCCTCCAGGAAGAAGGCTTTGCAGCATCAGGAAAACAAAGATATAAAGCAGTGTCAGATGATAAATATAAAGTGACTTGTGCTGGAGATGACAAACCTGATGTTATAAACCCTGTCAGAGCTCACTTGCAACCAAGCAGAGAGAGACATGATCAACCAGAATTCAGTACATGTACAACTGATCAAGTTCAAGGGCTGAAATTTCAGGTAAACTGCTTCTACTATATCAGTGTTGTATTTTTAAAACAAATTAAGTTCTGATTTAGGTATTGTCTCAGTAGAGTATCTTTATGGATGACTATATAATTTTAATAAGTGAGAAACTCTATTTTCACCCACATCAAACTTGAGCATCCTCATTCTTTATTCCATAGTGCTACAATAAATTCCCAACTATTTGGACTTGACTTTACAATTCTGGAGAGATCAGATTAACTGGTATGAGCACTAAAAGCTGAATAGATGCACAGCAAGAGTCCAATAAAACTGCCACTTGTCTACAGTTCTCTGGAGTGAGCCACAGAAATTCAGCAAAGCAGTTTCTGTTTGTAGAAAGCCAGGAGGAATGGAGAAACAATACAAGCTGACAGCTGAAATAATTTTTTTCAGGATTAAAGCACAAGCAAAAATAGCCAGAGGCTAAAGGACCTGCTACTGTAGATACAAACAACAAAATGATTAGCACTCAAGCCACTGATTTTTATATTCTGATGAAAATGAACTGAAACCTTAATACTATCAGCTACAAAAAGATGACAGATCTGTATAGATCACATCACTAATTCTAAATGTGGAATCTGGTCCTTTGGAAAAGTTAAGCATCCAGGGAATTTTGTTAGTAGGACTGTTCATGCTTAAAGCATATGAACTTGGCCATAAGCTGCAGTGTGCAGGTGCTCAGCAGTGAACTGGATAATTTAGGGTACCCCACAGCTCTCAGAAAAGGGGTTTAGCATGGCCTGCAGAGACAGAACTGGAATCAGTATGTCATGTGCCTCGATTGAACACCTGACCCATATTTCAGCATGTTTCTGAGTTGGGGTTCTAGGTAGTGAATTTCATTTGCATTTCATTTCTTCACCAGACTAGCATAAGTACAGATAGGAGAGTGGCTTGTGAGCCAGCTGCTCTGAAATCAGTGCCAGCCTACAGAATACACCTATGTTCACACCACATGGATCATGCTCTCTCTGGCCAACACTCTGACATGGGGGTTCTCTCTGAGGATAATACAAAACAAGCTGTCATCACAAAGGCTTGATCATGTATTTTATTTCACTAATTGTATCTTTAATTGTTTAGAGTAGAAGAATCTGGAATTACACAGTCAAATAATTGGATTTAAAAGGCACACAATGTACAAATATTTATAAAAATCAGTGTACAAAGTGGGCTGCATAAAATTGCATTAAGTAGAAAACAAATATACAGGCCATAAAAATGGAGTCCCAAAGAGGAAGCTACTATTAAAGTGCTAACAAGAAAAAGATATTTATAGTTCATTACATGCATTAAAAAGAGCCTCATGTTTTATTCCTGCTATTGCCAGGAAACAAAAAAAATATCATAAAACAAAAGTTAAATCAATACTTTGTCCTGCATTGACATCTACTACGTGGGTTTGTGCTACGTCTTCTGAGGTTGCTGTGACAGAATAGATGCCAGGAGAAACTTCAATGTAGAAGTCTTTGAGAGGTCTTCTGGGCTTTAAGGAAAAAAAAAAAAAAAAAGCTAAGCTAAGTTATTGATTAGTTATCTTAGATTTCCCCCCAAAAAATTGTGGTTGGGTAAAAAATTTACATTTCAGCTGCTATCCAAATGTACTAAGATTTTTCTAAATATATACAAGGCAGTGCAAACAAAACTGTAGAATGTTTCTGTCAGTACAAAAATTAGCAAGTGCCATACTCGAAGTATTTCAGCTACTGTTTCAATCGGTGGAAGGAATCATTGTGCTGTAATTTACGTCTTACAAAACTGAAATGTACCAACCTAGACAGTTGTAAACATAAAAATGGGAATTCCCATTCCCTATACCAAGGGCGCTCTCACTAATTTACACTGTGGTACAGATTCAGTATTTCTCATCTTTTGTGGCTTAGAAGTTCCTGAAATTGATTTGCTGAGGTGTTAGGCTTGGAAAAATAAAGAGTTTTCTTCTCCTTGAGGAACAGGAGTCTTCAGAGAGCCTGTGGGAGGGCCAAAGTGCAAGAATGCCACAATCTGGTTTTTAACTAATTGTGCAAGTCTCTGTATGCCCATTTGACTGCCTTCACATATAATATGATAGTGAATGCACCATTGGTTAATCTGTGCCATCAAGGTCTCCAGATCTGTCACAATTTTTAACCAGCTTGATTCAAAGTGATAAAAGAAATGCTGGCAAATACCTGCACTTAAAACCAAAGTATTCTATACACTTACACTTCGCTGGCAAGTTTGAGCTTGGCTGGGTTCTATGGAATCTTCAGTCCTCTGGAAAGAAAAAGAAAATTATTTTCTAATGATCCAGCACACCAAGCAAATCCAGGCCAAGACAGGGGATGCTTTAGGTGCATGCAATTTTCCCCTCCACAAAAGGATGAGTAGGACATTGATTGGTGCCACAGGTGACTCTGCCTTCCCCCAACAGGCTTGGATCAGTCCAGGTGTTTTTATGTCCATAAGGTCAACCTACATACATGAGTGTGAGTGTCACAGACTTCAGGTGGATAACAAATGCCCTACAGCATTTAGGAAGGGAAGGAATAACGTTTCCTCAAAGCCAGAAGTACCCACTTACCTCTTCTTCTGTGGAATCCATCTTTCTTTCTACTGGCTTGCCATGGTATTTGCAGAAGTGCTTGATTTCATTCTCTTTGCACTTGTTGACTGCCATAGCACCATAGTAGTTCTGGACAGCAACAGAAACAGAAAATATCATGTGGGAGGTATCAAACCATACTTGCAGCTACTGCAGATTTACAATTGAAAGTAGAACTATACAGATGCTGTGTACTAATTGACTGGTTTGTTCTCTGTGAGGGTGAAAACAATGCCTGTATCTCCAAAGGCCACCTTCTGGTACAGGACTTTATCAGACAGGCCTGATTTTAGATGCCTGTTTCCTGACACAATATGTAGGGCAGGGACTTTGACACCTCAGAACTGAATTCATGAAAATGTCAGAAGGAATACTCGGGAAGTCCCTGCCTGATCAGCCTGGTCAGGAAAAGCCCTGGTGGAAGAAGGCATAGTTTATGGGTCCATAGTTAAGAGGACATCTATGCAAGCCCGGTGCTCTGCAACCCAGTCAGTGAGGATGGTTTCTGCAGAGCATGTGCAGCAGCAGTGCTCTAAAAACAGAATATGTTAATACTGAAAAACGAGTCAGTAAAGAAGCTGAAGTATCTTCAAGGCTGGTACCATTTTCATGGGAGTTTTGAGAAGTGTATTTAAGCACACAGCAGCCACCTTCTGGTTCCACTGCAGACGTACTGGCAACTTCCCCACTGCAAATTAAACTCTTGAGTACAGTTCTGCTGCCATCTGTTGTCACTACAGAACTCCTCTCAAAGTTACTTTTTTGATCACAGGGACCAAAAACTCTCTCTTATTTCATTTTTCTCGTCCTTGACTGTCAAGACAAATGTAACAAAAATAAGGCAAATAACAATTCTTATTTCCAAATCTACTGCATCTACTGCTGTGCTTTATTCCTTGAATTTACACACAATTCAACAGATCTGGTTGCTTGTATTGCAGTTTTTGTGAAGCTACAAAATATATCAAATGCTCTGACCTGGTGCATAATGCTTCACAGAGCATCTCTTTTACATGATGGCACAGAGCAAAGAAATTAAACCCAACCTTTGGTGAGAAATGGATAAATTTTGATCCCTTAGTAACCCCAAACATCTCATCTTAAAGTTTAATTGTTTGCATTCAAGTGCCTAAATGGTTGTGTTCAGCTGTGGATTTTTATTTGCAATTTGTAAACTTTTGTAACTTATGGGTCTGAAAATTCCCCCCTTTTATGACTCTTCTTCTCTACAGAAATGACTGAAACAGTGCTGTCTTGACTGATGCATAAATGTGGAAGTCATCCACTACTTGTTCCAACTTTAATACTCTTAACAGGGCCCAAGACCGACCCAAAGAATAATTTAGGTTGGAAAACACCCTTAGGATCATAGAGTCCAACTGCAAACTTAGCACTGCCAAGTCACTGATAAGGATGAGTCTCTCTGCACTTTGTTTCATCTTGTGTAAAACTCTATTCTGCCCCAGTTGTTTTGGGATTAACTGGTTACTGTGTATGTAGTGCTTTGAAATTATAAAGGAGTTGCTTAAGAGCTAATCACTTGGTGTGCTGAAGTACTGTTTTCTCTAATTTAATTGCAGACTTAGGCTGTGTATTAGCCCTGCAGGCAGTGAGCTCCCTGCTGTGTGAGGATAACAGATCCCGAAGAACACAAACTGCAATGGAATTCTCAGAGTTCAGTGCAGGAGCTGGGCTGCAGGGCTGTGCTCACAAGGATGGGCTGGCAGAGGTTGGCTCCCAGTCTGCCCAGCCAGCAGAGCAGTGACACCTGGCAGCCAGAGCCAGCACGGGAGCAGGGGAGCTGTGCATCTGTGCACTGAACCTCTCCATTTCTACTCATCACAAAGAACTGAGCCCCTGCTCCTTAGCCAGCAGCCACATCTCAAATCCAGTTTGACCTGGTTTTGTCTGGGATAGAGCAAGTTTTCCTCCTAGTAGTTGGCACAGTGCTGTGTTTTGGATTTAGTAGGAGTATAGTGTTGATAACAAATGGATGCTTTGGTTATTGTTGAGTAGTGCTCACCCTGAATCAAGGACTTTGCTCATGCTCTGCCAGTGGGGAAGTGCACAAAAAGCTGGGAGGGAGCAGGGCTGTGACAGCTACCCCAAACTAGCCAAAAGGAAATTCCATATCATAGAATGTCATGTATATAAACAGCGAGAATTGTCTGAGGGGCTGACTGCTGTTAGGGCACTGGTCAGTGAGTGGTGAGCAACTGCATTGTACATTACTTGTTCTTCTTGGGTTTTATTTCTCTCTCCCCTTTTCATCACAATTATTGCTGTTATTGTCATTGGTATTATCATATTTTACTTTGTTTCAATTAATAAACTGTTCTTATCTCAACCCATGAGTTTTATTTTCTCCAGCTTCTCCTCCCCATCCTGCCAGATGAGGGAGGGAGTGAGCTCTATGGTTCTTAGCTGCTGGTGGGGTTAAATCACAACAACACTGGGGAGAAGGGAGGGTTAACTCTAAATTCAACACAAATGCAGGACACAAAGCATCCCTTCATCGGAGATTCAAACTCTCCCTTATTTCCACCACCCAGAGCAGGATATCAGCCAGCCTGAGTGGCTCACGTTCCCCTGGTGACAACAAAAGGTTACCGTGTTGTAAGTGTCATAAGGCCATTTCCCAGCAGAGATACTTTGCAGCACTTGAAACATTTCATACCTTGTGACACAATGTATTTTTGTGATGCCGCCTGGCATTTCTGTCTCTCTAACCAAACGGCCTTTCCACCAAGAAATGGAGAAACCTTCTGCAAAAATCTGTACTGCAACAGTCTCTAGAAAATGCGGATAGTGGTGTTTATCAGCCACGGTGGTACCAGCTCAGCCGGGCACTGTGCAGGGTGCGATGTACCCTGCCACATGATGCTGAGTGCCCCAAATTCATCTCGGCCATCCCTGGCTGAACCCTTGCCATACAACGAGCAAGCCCGAAGCCTGGTTTTTGCAGTAAAGGCAGTGAGGCCTCTGGCACGCACATCCTGCCCATTCCCCTTCGGGCCGCTCCGGGGGTGACCCCTCACCTCGCATTCCTTTGAGACTCCTCTCATCAGCCTCGCAATGGAAGCGAACGCTGCATTGAGGCGTTCCCCATCTTCGTCCTGCAACGAGAGACATTCCGGTCACTCGGCGTGCCGCCCGTCGCCAAGAGCCGGAGGGCGGCGGGGAGCGGAGCCGCAGCGCCCTCGGGGCTGTCTCGGGGGCACCGGGCGGGGCAGGAAGCTGGGCGCGGCGGTGTGTCCGGGCGAGCCCGGGCCCGTACGGAGCTGTCTCTCCGTGTCTCTCCGTGTCTCTCCGTGTCTCTCCGTGTCTCTATCTGTGTGTGTGCCCGCGGGTGCGCGCACCGCACTCACCGGGACCGCGCCCCGCGCGCGCCGCCGCGTCCGCTCCAGCACGTCGCGCGCCAGCCCCGCCGTGCGCCCCGCGCGCGCCACCTCCATCGCGCCGCCGCCGCACTGCGCATGCGCCCCCGCCCCGCTCCGCCCTCAGCCCGCCCCGGCCCGGGACACCGGGGCTGCTCCCGCCCGGTGCGGCCCCGCGGAGGGCTCGGGGGCCTTGGTTTGCCCCTTACACCCTCGCTCTGCCCTGCGGTAACGTCCGCACAGGGTTTCCTTTAAACGGTCAGTGAGGTGCCCCCGGGTGCTGCTCCCGCCGTGCGACAACGGGGAAGAACCCGCAGAAGCCGTGGGTGCCGATTCCGCCCGCAGTGGGAAGCGGTGCTCCCCGTGGCTTTTTTGTTGAAGTTTCGCGGTGCGAGCTGACAGTGACAGTAGGTGGCGATGGCCGGCCGAGGGACGCGGCTGCGGGTCAGAGGGAGAGCTGCACGCCCGCGGCGTCCCCTCCCCGCAGGAGCAGCCGCGTTCCCCGGCGGCGGCGAGAGAGCGCCCGCAGCGCTCGGGCCCTGCGAGCAGGGTTTGGCACACAGGCCGCCGTGCCCCTGGCAGCTCGGGCTGTCCCTGGCACAGGCGGGCAGCGCCAGGCTGCGGTCACCGCTCGGAGTTAGCGGAGCGGCTCGGGAAGGGGCTGTGCCTACGTGGGAGTGGAGCCACTTCGAGCCTTCGCTAACCTCGTGTGCACCGACGTGACAGTAGTAAAGAAAAATAAACGCAAAAACTTTCTTTGAGTCCCCTATGGCCAACATGGAGGCCCCGATCCTTCAAGTCCTTCATTCTTGTTGAGAGCTTTGCTAGCTGTAATCTCTTTGACAAGCAAGAAAAATAATCCTCTCCTAGTTTACATTTCATTGTCATCTGCCAGTTGCTTAAGCAGAGCAGCAGCCAGCCCCCGCAATAAACAAGCCCTTCACAGGCTGCTTGTTCATTAGGACATTGAAAGCCCCCATTCAGTGCTCAAATCCAGCTTAACTTTAAGTTTGGTCTCCGGCACTCAAAAGAAAATTTGGGCAAGTTGCTGGAGTGCTTGAGGTCTGGGGGACTGAATGAAACATAAAGGGGGGAGAAAAATAATATTCGATAAAAGCAATGTTAGTGCGTTTGATGTGGTGGAGAAGCAGCCAGAACAGACTGCTTCCTGCTTAATTGGAAACTGAACGTATTTGTTTCATCATGCCTTGTTAGCAGCGGTCTCCTGGAGAGGTGAGTGGGTTTGCTGTGTTGCTGCTCTTGTGAAATAGACTTGGAAAGGCCCTCCTATGTCATTTTCATAACACCAAGAAAAAAACTGTTCATTTTTCATTCCTGCCAGGTACTTGTAGCAGTAGCTTGTTGTTCAGGAGGTAAATTATTCCTGTTGTGTTGAAATTTAAACTCCCACCATTTTTTGCTGTTTGGTGACACAGTACTCCTTTTGCAGCTGAGTAAATACATCTGTCCCAAGAAGGCTGACAGCTGAAATAGCTTTTGCTTTGAAACACACATTCACATCAGAATCCAGAGGAGAGTTACCCTTATTTCCTGTACATTCATTCTTTCGAAATATAATGGAGGTTTGTGAAATGCTGGGCATTTCCACCAGATTCCTTGTTGTGTGGGATGATGGATCAGAATATCTGAAGACAATGTATTTCATTTTGCTGGTGAGGTGGCAAAAGCCAGGAATAGTTTATCCTGAGCACTTGGTTCTGGGTCCAGAAAAGTATCCTTGAGTAGGAAATCTCATAAACATTTGCCTGATGCTGAATACTATTTTGCTTCCATTTCAGTCAAAGGAAAAAGATAGCAAGTGCTTAAAAGTTCCAGAAATATGTAGTGCTGGAATTTGTATTTCAAATTGCAGGATACATGCTGCTCTTTATTTTTCTTCTGTACCTAATATCATTTGGTTAATCTGTTGTGACTTGTTTTATCAATGCCTACATAATACTTCAAGATCTAGGAACGATCTCTGTATTCTGCAATACTCATGGTCCTGTTAAGAGCTAGCATCCTGCCTCTTCTGTATTATTTTATATCAAAAGTTTTGGATGGGTTTCTCATCTGCCCAACCATCAGAAGCCATGGACACGTGTGCCACGCAGGGACTTTCTTCACCCCTGGCACACACGATGCCCTGGGGGCTCTGGCTGGGCCGTGCCAGCGAGCGGGACACGTCGGGCTGCGCTGCCCAGGAAACAAAGCATTGCACATCGCTGCCAGGAGCTGCTCCCGGGCGGCGGGATCGGAACCAAGGTACCCGGCGTGAAGTTCAGAGGCACGCCACTGCCTCCCTCGTTCCGCACAGGTGCTGTTAGTGCGGAGCCAGGGAAGGCCGGGGAGCTGCCTGGTTCGCAGCTCCCTGTTGGGAGCCATCTGCCCCGCGCCTGGCGCAGGAAGCGCGCCTCCCGCACTCCTCCTTCCTTCCGCTCTGCCCCGCAAGCGGCTCCGAGCCGGGAGCAGCCCGGCGCTCGTAGTGTGTTAAATAAAAACCAAGCGGTATCGCCCCTCCGGGCTAGCGAGAGGAGGAAGGCTGTCAGTCAGGGGGCTCGGCCCACCTCTCCTCCTCCTCCTGTGCCCATCGCATCTCCCCGCGGACCGGCCGGCCCTACCCGGCTGCTCCCCTCCCTCCAGCCTGTCCGGGACCCGGGTTTGGGGCTGAGGGGGCGGCGCCCACCCATCCACGGGGCCGGGGCTGGGGCCGGGGCCGAGCGCTGCCGGCGGGAGCGGTGGCTCGGCAGCCCGGGGCTGCAGCCCGGGCCGGGCTGCGCTGCGCTGCGCTGGGGGAGCAGGTTTCTTTGTTGGCTGCCGGGTGACTGGTTCCCATTAATCTCCCGCACTGGTCGTGGCCGTCTCCACTTCCTGCCTTTGCATACTTCTCTCTCCCTCGATCTCAGTCCCTTCCCACCCCCTTCCCTCCCCCCTTTCTTTCCCTCTTCCCAGCTTCTCCAAAAAAGCTACAATCGCCCGGGCTGCGGGACGGGGGCTGCAGGCGGCCGGCGGAGGGAGCGCATCCCTGCGCACCTCGGTAAGGGCCGGGGAGCCGCGCTGCCGGGCGGTGGTCACCTCCGGGCACCCGGGCAGGGGAGCGGGACTGGGGGAGAAACGATCGCTCGTGCTCCGGGTGACCGTCCCTGCGCGCCGAGAGCTTCCCGCGAGCGGGGCGGGCCGGGGATGCGCGGCGGTGGCGGCGGGGGCTCGCCGGGAGCTGCGGGTCCCGGACCGCGGAGCCCCCGCGGCAGCGGAGCCGCCGGGGGCCGTGCCGGTGCGGGCCAGCCCCGCGATCCTTGCGGGATCCTGCCCTGCCTCGGGGCAGCGCAGATGGGCAGGGGGTCCCTGAGCTCGGGCGGAGTGGCACTCGGTGCTCCCGCGCTGGTGCCTCCCCGGACGCTGCTTTTTGTGCGGGTGGCGAGGGCAGGGGCACCGCGGAGGGACGGAGCTCTGGGAGGGACAGAGCCGGCGGGACCACTTCGGCCGGACCGGGATAACTCCAACCCGGCTCGCAGCCAGCGCGCCGAGCATGGGGCTCTGAGCTGGGGGAGACGGGGAGTGCGGCGCTTCCCTTCCAGTGCCCACTCGCATCGCCGGTCCAGCTGGCTGTGGTGTTTGTGTGCGTGCTGAAAAGTGTAGAGGAGCCACCTGGACTCCGGCGGAAGGCTTTGGGATCCCAGGACAGATTTGGCTGAAGAGCTAAGGGAGCTCTGCAGCAGTTCACTTGGTGGGAAAATCAGATGTCCTGCTCTTGGCTTGGTACCAAACGTTTGCGTTACTAAGGTCACTGCAATCAAAGAGTAGCGGTTACATATAAGAGAGCCTTCTTGTGTTTACTCCAGGTTTATCACTCAAATGTACTTCAAATTTAGTAGTCAAGCTGAATGAAGCCGGGTGCATAATATTACTACATGGAGTATGTCAGTAGTAGTATTTTCTACACCCTGCGCTTACTTGGGGAATAGGTTTTCTTTCATTTTTATGCTGGCTAGTCAGACTTAACTTCAGACATACTTTAAATAATCCAATAAAACTGGAGTGATCAAACTGTTAGTTGTAGTCTGGTTTTTGATGATAGGCTGAAGTGAGGTTGATTTGCCTTTAAGACTTAAAAATGTTTTGTTTTTACATTATTAATTTATAGTTGGTGGATGAAAATTTCCATACAGTGGAAGGGTAGGTTAACAGGGCAAAGGTAGGAGTATCATGCATTTAAGGTGAGGTTTGAGGAAATAATTTATGTTTTAGGAGCACCAAAATTTAACTTTAATTCTGGTGATCAGGTTATGGAGGTGACATAGTGGAAATCTGTTACCAAGCTGACATGTAAGAGTAAGATTTATGGGTTTGACCATTTATTTCCCTCTTTCATGAAGATTAGCTATTTAAAAGAAAACTGCACCACATTTATAGCAATGATGATGACTTTATCAAGTTACTCAGGAGTATAGTCAAGCATCTTTTAAAATTAGCTACAGTCTGTCCACTATTAAGAGTGACCAGACTGACAGGGAACTGATATTTTTCTTCTGGGGTGGAACCAGTTTCCTCAAGAGTATGGAGTGAGGACAGGGGCTTTTGGGAGGGGTTGACAGGTATGATGGTGATGGGCCTCACTGGGGCATGGAGACTGTCCTGCTCCTAAAAGGATGTAGCATGTGTTCTCCTCTTGTATGCAGAAATAAGGGAGCCCTGCCTGGCCTGGCTTTCTGCTGCTTCCTTCAGGGTGCTGAACTCCCCCAGCCAGCTTGTGCAGTGTAGTCACTGCCCTTCCTGGCTCAGGGCAGGGGGGAGAGGTGCCTTCTGTCCTCTCCTACCCCTGCAGCATGTTTGTGCTGTGCCTGCCAGAATTGTGCCCCAAGAAGCTCAGGATCAAGCATTGCTCTTCCCCTTTAAGCAAACGCCTTAATGTACACTGGAGCTCTTTAAGGAGTGTGTGACCCCTTATTATTGGTGACCCTGTAAACCATTGTGTAATCTGTTGACAGTAACATACCATGCCAATTCATTCTTGGTTGGGAAGTCTTGCCAAGGGCTTGATGGAATAGCATGATTTTATCCACTTTATTGTTTTCATT